GATATGTACACATCCAGTTTTTTAAAATATCTTTATAGTCATCAATTTAAAAACTCAACAATTTTTCCATTATGTTTTACAAGAATACGTACAAAGAGTTGTCGCGCAAAAAGAGTGTGCATATGGTCATTAACACGTTTTCCAATCTCGGCTATTCGACGACCACCCTGCAAAATGACACTTTTGAAGCCGTAAAAAAACTTCGAAGATTTGATACGTCAACAATTACTACCTTGCCTATAATCAACCGTCCGATACGCTCCTTATCGCAATTAATTTCGACGATGATTTGCAAAACCTGGAATGTAATTATAGCAAGTGAATCTTGAAAATCACGTAACAAATATTGCGAAAACTACCTCGCCGTCCACTTTCCATTCATTTATTCTTGGCTTGAGCTGGTAAGCAACATTCGATGGAGTAGTGTCGAGTAAGGCAGCGCGAACAGAGTCGATACAAATTTGCTGGGGGTCCTAAATGAAGATAACTAGTGAAAATTGGGAGAAGCAAAAAGTATCCCATAGAATAAAAATTGCTTGAGGCAGATCAGGAGATTATGTCACAACTAAGCAAACAAGAAAAAACTGAATGTACTGATTTGCTGAGATGCAGACAAATAATACTTACCCTGCTAGTAACAGCCATCTCGTCCATTCTCCATTTCCGTTCAATCGACAACTTTTTGAGATGATCTCGCAACGGTTCGATGCCCTCTCCAGTCAACGAGGATACTGCAAGAAAGCTCTTTGTCAACTAACGACTAAAGCAGTGCAGCAGTAAATGCATACCAAAGAAAACAGCATCAAAGTTGCTCCACCCTCGAACATTCATAAATAATCGCTTTGTTTCAGCAAAACCGACTCTATGAGTTGGCTTAGCTATCAATTTCCTGGAATGATAATTAGCTAAGTAGAATTTTTATAACATTTTGGTTAATAAAGTGCGAATACCTGAACTGTTCTTGCCAAGCCTCGTCTTGCATCGTTGTGGTATCGTCATGTAATCGCATTTCATTTGATGCAACTCCCAGTCTTCCAATCTACGACAACAAGGTTCCGAATGCTCAAATGGGAAGAACAAAATTCTTATTGAATACAAACAAGATGATTATTGCTCTATTAGAAAAGCCTTTTTTTAGAAAACACCGATAAAATTTCAAAGTATGTTCAAGAAAGTCATGACACGTGGTTGTAACAACTTCCATGCACAAGGAAGATCATAACCATTAAATGTTTTTTACGAGAAAAACGATTTAAGACAACGAAAAAAAA